GCAGAATACTGGTACAATACCTCCTTTCACTCGGCTACCAAGATGACACCTTTTAAGGTTTTATATGGGAGGGACCCCCCATATTTGGTACACTACAGCCATATTAGTACTCCAGTATCTGCAGTGGATCAACATTTGAAGGAAAGAGATCAGGTGTTGGAAGAGCTCAAGAGGCATTTACTTAGAGCCCAACAACTTATGAAGAAGCAGGCGGACGGCAAAAGGAGAGATATACAGTTTGCAGTTGGGAAGAAGGTCTATTTGAAGCTCCGACCATACCGGCAGAGGACTGTGTCCCAAAGGAGAAATGAGAAGCTTGCAGCAAGGTATTTTGGCCCTTTTGAAGTGGAGGAGAGAATTGGAGAGGTGGCCTATAGATTGAGGCTTCCTCCAACAGCCAGAATACACCCCGTTTTTCATGTCTCACAGTTGAGGAGAGTAGTGGGGGAGCATGCAATGAGCCCAGAGCTGCCGAGCACATTGAGGGAGGACATGAAAGTGACATTGGAGCCTCTAGCGATAGGAGTGCGCATCAACGAGAAGGGGGAAAAGGAGGTGAAGATTAGGTGGAGCGGCCTTCCAGACTATGAGGCCACTTGGGAGCCACTGGAGAGGATTGCAGAGCAGTTTCCTGCTTTCCACCTTGAGGACAAGGTGATTCTTTGGGAGGGCGGTAATGTTACGCCGGCTGGACCGGCCCTGGTCTACAGCCGGCGGAAGCCAGGCAAAAGGGAGGGGGCGGACAAGCTAGTGGGCCCCACTTGGGCTTAATGCGAAATTTAGAGTGAAAATTTGAATGAAAAGGGTGTTTTAGGTAATTTGTAATTGTCCGTTTGTCTTTAATTAGGAGTTATGATGAGAATTAGGCTCATCTTGAATTTGAATTAGTTTTGGGAGATATAGGGTTTGTGTTCTTGGGCTGTTGGCGTTGCCGGAGATTGTGGAGAGTTTTTCCTTCCTCTCGAATTGAAGGAAAGTTGTATCTTGCAAGTGCTTTTCATCCTTTATTGAAATAAAAGTGTTTGTATCGTTTTCCTATGAATCTCCCTACGTCTTTCTCTCAATTTTTCTGGAGTTTTGCTGTTTTTCTGCTGTGGACAGCAATATTCGCTTGGATCTACTTTGGTTTGGGTGAGAAACACTTGGAAATCCAAGAGTTTCCTATCATATTCTTCTTAAAATTTAACAATGAGAATCCTTTGTTTCACAGTAGTATAATTTCCATATCAGCTATTGGCAATAACTTGACCTATTTGAAGTGCATTAGTGGAAGCTTCTTGAATATGAAACACTACATAAACAAATTGTCAAGAAGAAGTGATTGTTTAAATTTATGCTAGGATTGAGCAAAATCTTGATGAAGGTAATGGACCTTTAATATGAGAAGCCTTTTTAGAGGTTTTCTTGGTGAAAGAAGTTACTGGGAATTGATGATTGAATCTTCAATTTATTCGTTCATTGAAGAAGGCATTGCTTTGGCTGTCCATGATCTCCAGAAACACCTAAACTTCGATAAAAGACCATGGAAGGGATGACTCTCATCTGATCATTGCTGCAATACATATCATAGTGGAGGCTTCAAACTTAAATTAAAGTGAAAACTTTGAGGATTTGAGAGGCTTTGATTTCATAAGGTCTGCAATTTATGTTTGACTTGCATCATTTTGATCTGCCAACTATCAAAAATTTTGTGATGGCTCTTGGTTTTGCTTTATACTCTCGGTCCTACAAGAAATTAACTTAACCTGGTGCAAACACCAAGCAAAACTGATTCAATCCCCATTGTTTAGTGTGAAGAGACATAAAATAAGAAAATGGAGGATCAATATCTCCTTCACTTTGTTCCAAATTCAATGCCAACTATTACATGAAGTGCAGGCCAAGGATTGAGAAATTATGTAGTTCAATGCTAAAATGGTTGAAATATCAGCAATATTGGTGCATATGACCTATATGATGCGAACAAGACAAAGTATCACATCCTTAAAATTACAAAATCACAGCTGTTGATAAGTAGTTATGCTGGCCACTAGCTCCCAAGTTGAACAAATGCTAGACTTTTGATATGAGTTTCAGCTAGGCGTCAATTAGAGATCAAATAAAGGGGAAAGGTTGCCCGATCCCCTAATAAAGTCATCTATCTCCAAAGCCAGCACTAAATACTTGCTTGATGCTTTCATCAATTGAAAGGTCAACGAAATCATAACTTTCAATTATGCCTAAAAAGTTAGCCATCTCGATAGACCTTGATCAGATGCAGTAACTCAAAGGGGAACTTAGATCAATATTTAATAACTTCAATGGGATTAGCATTCCTTGACAACATTTGGTGTGGTTAAAGCCTTAAAGGTGATGATGTGAAACATACAAATGAACAAGAATTGTTTTTGGAAATTAATAATAGTTTGAATGTTAACTTTGCTAATTAAAAACTTATCTTTCACCAAGTCGAATTCTTAGAAGTTTCCGTTAGAATATTAAGTAATAGCAATTGATTACAAGGAGAATAACAAGACGATTGCAAATAACATAAAAAACAATATAGTAAAACTAAACGAAGCAAAAATCCACAGCCTAACATCAAGAAGTGTTCACCATGAATTCCTTCACTCTTGATCTTGAAGTTGGGCTTAGTAGAGAAAGGGTAGAAGCAACCCTAGTGATGCCACCACAAGACAAGTGACGCATAGGGTCTTGTACGCCGGAGAAGTAGCCGGAGGAGGAGAGGTTGGTCAGCCGACGATTTGCCAAGGTCCCATGGGTTGTTGCCCTTCTATCGTCTCAGCGAGGCAATAGAGTATGCGGTTGACGTAGCTTTCCACTGAATCTTCGTAGTCCCAATCCGGATCGTAGAAAGGAGAAAGCAAGATGTCGATCTCTCCTTGAGAATTATGGGAGAATCCGTGGTCGACCTCAGGGTCGGCCATACACCAATGGTAGAAGGAAAGAAGGAGCTTGTCTTCCTTTCTTGGCTTCAAAAGTCATGAGAGGTTTAGGGTTTCCAAGAGAGATGAGGCAAGTGGAAGGGGCGGCCAAGGAGAGAGAGGGGGACAGTTTGGGTTATGTGGGATCTAAGTTTAGGGTTAAGATGCGAGGTTTTAATAAATTTGAAATTAATTTCGAATTTAAGTGAATTTGGAGGGAATTGAATTTGGTAATTAATTTCAAAATTCAAATAAGGCTTAAGGCTTAAAGGGGACAATCAATGGAGAGCCCAATGTTGGGGCCGGCAGCTTCAATAGAGGAAGGAGGGAATTGGGGAGGGTTTTAAAAGCTTCCAGACATGTCTTTTAAATTCGGAAGGCTAATAATAAATCCAATCTAATTTAATTTTAAATTGGACTTATAATTAAACACTTTCCTTATTTAGAATTTGCAAATATGGAAAGTATTTGAAATTCGAATTTGAATTTCAAATAAATCATAATCTTTTCTTGCTTGCTTGAGCTAATTTAGGAAACCATTAAGATGATTGGAATCATCTTTATGGGAGGGAGCATGGAAGTGGGCCGGCGGCAAGGGGGAAGATGGGTTTGGCGTTGAGTGGAGGTGGGGAGGGAAACTAGGGATTGGGTGATGGGGAAGGAGTGGTTGGTGGTTGGGGCCGGGGAAGCTTGCGGCTGGTGGTTGGGGGAGATGTAGGGGAGATCGGCTGGTTGGAGAGAAAGAACAAGGGAAAACAAAAAGAAAATAGACCACGAGCCACGGACTCTTCCAATGACTGGTGGGTATTGCGCTCGCCGCTCGCCCTCACCTCGGGCTCTCTCTTCTTTCTAGTGCACACACAAGAAGAGGAAGAAGACAAAATCAAAATTTCATTCAATCATTCTTTAACCTTTTACAAAGCACAAGACCGCTATATATAGGTCTCAAACACAGAGAAAAGAAAAGTACTCAAATGTCCTCTGGGCTACAATTAGAAAACATTCCCCATAGGGGTAAACTAGAAAAACTGAAATGCAAACTAAATAAAACATAAAATACATCAAAAGTAAAGACTTTGAATCGTAGCCGTCGATCTATGATTCCGTCGCTGGTACACATGTCAGAATCTCTGAGCGATGTCCTCATCAGGTGACCTATGGCAACATGGGAGGAAATTATATCTTGTGTCGTTCTCAATTGATCAGTAACCTTTTAAGCATAGGGCATTGAGTGGTATATTGAACTCCTAAACAACTCAGAACATTATTTGACTTCAAAAGAGGTTTATAAAGAGATTTTCAATGCTTTGAGTAAGCAGTAATTAGAAAGACGCAAAATGAGGAAAAGAAGTTAAATAAGTAGTTGATTGATAAAAAAAAGAGGATGTGTGGTGAGATTGCCATAAAACTCATCACTAATTGGAGAGAACAAGAAAGCAATGCCAACAACTATTTGAAGAGAAACAAACTGTTTAACTTCTAGCAGACGGCATTGATCTCTCTCTTTCTCTCTCTCTCTCTCTCTCTCTATATATATATATATATATATATATATATATATATATCGTTAACACCTTTCATGAGTTATTGAACGTAGTGGCCAAGCTCAAAAGACTCAACCTGTCTAATTTTAACAAGTCTTGTTGCGTGATTTAAGCTTTTTAATCTTGGTCAAACCAAGTTTGATATAGTCTAGTTTATGAGGTTGCTTTTGTAGCATTGAAGCTATATTACATTAAAATTGCAACTTTATTCCAATTTTAACAACTGTTTGAGAAAATTAATGATCAAAATTCTACACGATCATTGATAGCATTACATATGTATTGAAATAATACCATGGGAATGGTCTATCTACATGAGGTAATATTTGACTATGCTAGTATAAAGGATTTCTAGTTTAACTGTTTAGTCACAAGTTAATGCTGTGTTTTCACTTCTAACATAGAAAGAAAACCTTTGTGGTTTTTAAGTTGTATGCTATTGACACTTATATTATCATGCTTGTAATCCAATGCATGATTTTGGAGGTCAATGATCTTCACGTCTGACTGGATATATATTTTTTACTGTCAGGAATCTGTGGCAGGCAAGGCTCAAGAGTTTCTTGAGTATATTATGAATAATCATGACGTATGTTCGAAAAAGGTAACGGTGTTGCAGGCTTTGAAGATCTCTCTGGTGAGATAATGCTTGTTTTTCTTCATTAGTTGTAAATTTATTAAATATTTTATTTTTTTATGGTTATATATGTTCATCTCTCATTTGGGTTGTTTATGATTTATTTATCACTCAATAGATTTTTTATACCAAGTGGACATATTTCTTAGCTTTATGTGTAAGTGATCTTACATGTTCTGGGACATGGTTCATTTGGAAATTTTAGATGATTAGTTTATTTTCTTGTGGTGGATTAGATTAATTTTTACTAGATTTTTTGTGATATTCGATTGAGGTTTCTTTAGATTTAGGATCAAGTCTTTTTATGGGTGCAAATTCTTATGGCTAATTATCCCTAACTTGCGGTTAGGGGTGTAAACAAGCCAAGCTTGAACGGGCTAGTACTTTTTTGTGTGACTCGTTTAAATTTATAGTTGTTCAAATTCGGTTCGAAATTGCTTGCAAATGCCTTGTTTTTGTTCAGTTTATTTTAATTTAATTGAGCTCATTTGTAGCTCAGGTTGATTAAAAATATAGCATTATTAATTTTTTTGTAAAAACTTGCTAAAAATTTTTAAGATAATAAAAAATCCTCTTCATATCTCACCGCCCCAAGATCCCACCTACCCCAAATGTGCAAGTGCTCAATGGCCTCAATCGCTCAGAGTTTTTGGCTAGTCAATATAGCCCTTTCCTTTATTGTTTGTAAACCGTTGAGTTCTAAACGATGTAAAACTATATAGCATCTGCTTTGTCCTCGTCGCGAAAGGCAAGAGATGCCCATGTATGCAATTTTCATTGAATGTAGATATATGGAATAAAAATTTTCATTTAAAAAAATAAACATAGCCCATTTATTCCTTTCCACATGTTTGTCAGTGGCTTACTATTTTTTGTAAGTTGTTTAGAGGCATACAATTCTTGTTGCTAACATGCTTGTATGTGAGGCTTTATGGCTCAAATATTGGGATTAGACAATTAGTTAATCTGACAACCTCTTCCTATAGGCAAGATGACCCATATGGTTGGATTTAATTTTTTTTGTAGTGCTTATTTTAACTCGCATATTGGAATAATTCATGTCCCCTAAGATCAATTTAGAGTGTATAAGGACAAACTTTGGTCCTTGGTTGATTCACTTGGTTAATTGAGTTGACATCATATGTATTTGAATTGAGGCCTGAAGCATTTTGATGATTTGGTTCTTTGAAGAATTAAAAAAAAAAAAAATATTTGGTTCTTAGAGAGCCGTTTTGGTCATTTAAGAGTTTTTTGAAATGTTTGGCATTGACTATGAACCCTTTAGAAGCTCTAAATAAATTAGCACAAACTTTTAATATGTTGACATAGATATTAATGTTTGCACATCCTTCATAGACACTTGGGCTATCCATGACTCATACACCTTTTACTGGTCAAATAATTTTTATTCTTAGGAATTTTGATATGCTATATGTTTTAATATCTTATCAAATGTATGATAAAAATAATCTATTGTATTATACCTGTATTAAGGAAACATTTTTGCTACTTAATAAAATTTTATTATCATTTATAGCAATTTGCAAGTTCTATTTTCGTCAAATAATTTATGGCTACTTAATAATACTTAGAGGGAAGGTTGCAACATTTACAGCGGAGGGCATTCTTGTAATTCCTTGGTTTGTTTTGTTCCTTTTGGCTTGGTGAGTTCCACATGGATGCAAGAATTATTATTGGGTATATCTTGATTTTAACATGGTTTAATCCTATGGCTAGTTGAACTCACGAACATTTGAGTAAAAATTTTATAACTATAACTTACTAAAAAGTTTGCTCGCAGTATAAGCTTTTTTAATATAATGTTATTGTTATATTGGCAAAATGGGTTAAATTTCAAAATTGTCACCTAACTATTTGTACATGTCCATCTTAGTCCCAGAGTATAATGTTGCTCCAGTTTAGTCCCTTAACTATACAAAATTGATCCAAAATGAGGTATTTGGGACTAAATTGGGATTAATTTTATATCACAATTATAACATGAGGGACTATTTTGGATTAATTTTGTATAGGCGAGAGACTAAATTGAGGCAACGTGATACTCTAGGACTATATTGGCCATACACGAATAATCTGATGACTATTTTGAGATTTTTTTGTTGGGAAAATATTATTTCACAACCAAAGTTGTTGTTTGTTGTGGTTTTTGCTTTAATGAAATATCTAATAATGTCTTCATCTAATGCATGTGGCATTAGCATAAAAGATTAATGAATATCCACTTTTAAGGAAATCTTGCCCTATAAGATCTTCTTTACTTTACTTCATTTGTTCACTCATTGGTGCAAGTTGTGGTTGTGGGGCATAAAGACTCTCACAATGCTTGCTATTTTGAGATTTACCCAGTGATTTTTTTTGTGAAGTTTGTCAATATATTGCAACCCTTCAGAAAATACAAAATCCCTGGCCACTGAAATTAAGCAAGAAGGGCTTCTGAAACCTAATTTGTTTGTTTGTCGAACAAGAACATACCAATTTTTCTAGCATTACATGTTCAGTAATCTTCTGAATTCTCTATGGTTTGATAAGTAGAGAATAAGTATAAATTTCTTGTCGGGGAACTGCATTGTTGTAAAAACGTTAAAATAATACTGGAAAGAATTTTTTATAATTGAAGTTTGTTAACATTGTAAACCCCCCTTTAAGAATCATACTCTAGTTGCCGCTGAAGTTATTTTTAGAGGGTTGGGGTAATGGTCTGGAAATACAAAATCGGTCATTTTTAAAGAATCCCTGTGTAAGTAAGATATCTATTGTGGCCAATCATCACCGTATGTATGTTGCTGTTAATGGGATGAATTGTTCGCCTTTTGCATAATTCAAGCATATTTATCTGTCTGCTTGCTTTTTTCTGTTAATATAATCTTTTCTTTATCTTCTTCATACTTGATCTATAATACATTTTTGTTTTAAATTTCCAGTGTTGGCGAGCTGCGTCCATGTCAAGGCACAGGTTGGATCGTATTGAATCTCTTGAGACTGCAAAAAAGCATTTGCAATATGAATGTACTGAAGAGGAGGCGTATTCTGTCTATTCAAGATTGAGGATACTGAAAGAAAAATTTTCTTGTCAGGCAAGAGTATTGGATAATTTGATAGATCTTAACTCTCTTGATAATCAATCATCCTGTTTGAAAAGGATAGATTCTGGAAGAAAATCTCTACCTGAGAGGTCTAAAGAAATAGCAGTTTCTGACACTAAAGGTTTAGTTACGATTGGGGGAGCTCCCGATAGTTTCAATTCCTCTGAAAAACTAGTCTCACCAAAGAAGGGTCATGCCCCTCATGGAACCCCTATAAATTTTCATCTGAACGTTGAACCAGTAGAAGATAAACTTTTGAAAAATCTATTTGATTCCATTGAGAAAGTTTCTTTAAGGAGATCAGAAGATCTTTCCCACAAGCACCAAGCCGAAATATTACATTTTGGAAAACAAATGTATGAGGAAAGGGTGCAATTCGGAAAGGCACATGATCTTGATTTGGAATTTCTTCGCTCTATACATATCGATTTGACTGTTATAAATTGGAAGATAAATTTGTTAACTCAAGAGTTTTCTTCTAAAATGGGCAGGCTTTGTCAGCACCATAAACAACAGAAGGTAAAATTGTTGTCCATGCAGCTTGACATGCGGAGGAAGGAACAAGAGTTGAAACATAGTTGGTTGGTGAAGGCAAAAACTGGTCAGCTGGAGGAATTCTTTGATAATCTTCCTCTACCAGAGACTGGATTCCGGATAGAAAAATTCGAGGAATCAAGTAAATATGCAGGTAATTGCACTGAGTCTGGAACCATTATACTTGATTCCGCACCCCCGTCTGACGGCACAAATGCTGAATTGATTAAAGCACCTACGGGTGAATCTAGTGAATCAGAAGAATCTTGTCTTGAAGTTACATCAAATATCTCGAGTGGAAGTGTGGAAAACGTTAGACTGTCAAAAGATGCTTTGATTTCCCACTCTTTGTTGAGTAATGATACAAGACCTATTAAGCATATTAGATCAACTGTACAGCCATCAATTCCTCCTGGGCTGGCTAGTGTGCTGCCCATGAATGCAGAGAATCAAAGTCCTCAGTTGGAAGTCTTGAACCAACGTAGTAGCAAACAGACTGACTTGGTTGATGACTCAATATTGTCAACGGCCATTCATGCTGGGAAGCAAGAAGGTAGAATTAGTTCTAATATTCTAAACATGGTAGGGTACAAGGGACATCTCCTTTCCTCGGTACAAGGGATTGCAAATTCTGTGACTGCAAATACTTTCTCGTCTATTCAGGTTTGCCTTCTAACATTCTGCAAATAGTCTTGTTCAGCTATTCTACTGTACACATCATTGGAGAGACTTGATATCTAAGTGCAGAAATGCTTGCAAGAAACTTGCAGTTTTTTTTTTTTTTCACTTGTTTTTTCTGGTTTGCTAGAAAAAATCTTACCAACTCCCTTTTCCTGTTAAATTCAATTCTCTATCAAGTTTTGTATATTATTGTGTTTTAATAGATTCCATCCTGAGCACTTTGTAGAATTCTTACTACTTTCTTCACATTTGATGAAAAATTCGTGCAATATTTTATATTTTTTGTATGCAATCACATTTTCAAACTCTTTTGTTCATTTAATTTTTCTTTTGTTGTGTTTCGGTTGTGGTTAAGGCTTAGGCTCCTTATTTTACAATTTTTTATTATTGCAATCGAGTTTTTTTAAAATTTTGTGCATGGGTGTTATGAAAGACAATAATCCATGAAAGGATCCTCTATATGAAAAAAATTCAAGAATTAATCTTATATAACATGCATTCATGCTATCTTTTGGTCCACATTTTTTTCATGTCCATTTTCAGTAATTTTATTTATAACTTTTATTATTGAATCTTCTATATTATATGGTACATTTTCATATCACTAGAGTTTATGTTCCACTCATCACTAGGTGTTTCTGTCATTATATTTCTTATTTTGTGGCAACCCCAACTTAGCCATTAATCCTTTTTTTGTGCAAAACTATTATGCATTTGGCATGGCCAGTCTTATTGTAGTTTGATAAAACTTTCTATTTTAAGTCTTAATGATATTTGCTTATTGCATAGAATTCCCCATTTGTACCTTCATTGTATTGTATAATAGATTCAAGATCCCAAAGTTTCACATTTAGGATTCACTTGATGTTATAATAATACTAATTTTTTTTTCTAATTATTCAAAAAAGTAATGCTATAATAATCTTGATTGTTAATTCTTAATTTAGACATTAGAATTGATTCACATATATTTGGGAGTTGTTCCACTATTCTTAAATCCCTCAACTTCAGAATTTTTATTTAATTCTTCTGATTTGTCACTTACTTCATTAGGTGTCTCGAGTATTAGAATTGTCATCTAAAGAAAGCTTATGCTAAGGTATTTTTGATTATTTTTTTATGAGCATCTCTATAACTAATATAAATAGATGTGGTTTTAATGCAACCTCAAATGTAATCTTCTTCTGATTAAAAATGCTTTGGTCAGTCCACAAGTTCTAGTCCTAGCCAACACATATCATCATCATCATCATCATCATCATGAGCCCTATCTCATATAATCATTAAGTTAATTTATTTTTCATAGTGTTGCTACACATTCATCTTAGCATTCTCATTGCTTGCACAGTAAAGAGGTGGAGCCACACATCACTATCATTATTTGAAGTGTTTGGAATATAACATTTGGTTTTTGGTGAACACACAACCTAGTCTATCCATGTTGATGATCTATCTACTACAACAACAACAACATCAAGCCTATGTCCCACTACGCGGGGTCGGCTACATGAATCCTTTTTCACCATAGTGTCCTGTTAAAAGTTAAATTCTCATTTAAATCTAATAAAGAAAGATCATTTCTAATATTTTATAACCAAATCTTTTCAGGTCTACCTCTACCTTTCATAACATAAGTCAAATCTAATACCTCAACTTTCCTAATCGGGTCATCGGAAGGCCTCCATTTAATGTGATCAAACATCTAAGGCAACTCTCTCTAATCTTATATTCCATTGAAGCTACTCCAACCTTTTCAAGTATATGCTCATTTCGTATCCTATCTCTAAGGGTAAAGCCACTCATCCACCTAAGCATACTCATCTTTGCAACACTTAACTTAATATTATAAGTTATGCTTCTCTTTTAATGGCCAACATTCGACACCATAAAGCATTGCTGGTCTCACCACCATCTTATAGAATTTTCCCTTAAGTTTGAGTTGAACTTATTTTTTTGAGTTGAACTTATTCCCTTAAGTTTGAGGGGGACTTTTTTATCGCACAACAAGCCCGATGCATTCCTCCACTTCAACCATCCAATTTGAATTCTTCCAATAATATCCTCATCTATTTCACCATCACTATGAACAATAGAACCAAGATATCTAAAACGTGTACTCTTATTAATGACTTGATCGCCCAAAGTCACAATCCCCTCACTAGGTCTATTGCTACTAAAATTACACTCCATATATTCAGTTTTTGATCCACTCAAGCGAAAACCTTTACTCTAAGGTTGACCGCCATAATTCAAGTTTACCTTCAACTCTCTCTAGTCTTATCAATAAGAAGAATATCATTAGCAAAAAGCATACACCAAGGTACATCCTCTTGCAAATGTCTAGTGAAAATATCTATAGCTAAAGCTAAAAGATATGGGCTTAAGGCTGATCCTTGATGTAATCCAACCAAAATAGGAAAATACTTTGTCAAACCACCTTGTGTTTGAATATAAGTAATTGCTTATGCATACGTATCTTTAATGATTTGAATATAAGCGTTATTAACTCAATTCTTTTCAAAAACTCTCCATAGCACTTCTCTTGCAACTTTATCATATGCTTTCTCTAAATCAATAAATATCATATCTAGATCATCCTTATTCTCTCTATATTTCTCCATCAAACCTCTCAATAACTATATGGCTTCTATAGTAGACCTACCCGGCATGAATTCAAATTGATTTTGAGAAACATTAGTATCATGCCACAACCTACGCTCCATAACTCGCTCCCATAGTTTTAAAGTATGAAACATTAACTTAATTCCTTGTGCATCACCTTTATTCTTAAAAATAGAAATTAACACATTCATTCTCCACTCATCTGGCATCTTTTTTAGTCTTCAAAACAGTATTAAATTATTAATTCAAGAAATTCCTTCATCTCCTAAGCATTTTCACATTTCTATTGGAATATCATTAGGTCCAACAGTTTTTTCACACTTCATTTTCTTCAAAGCCTCTTTAATTTCGGTTTTACTAATGTGCCGATAAAAACAAAAATCTTTATTTTCATTTAGGGTGTTAAAGTCACTAAAGTCAATTATATTTTCACATTATTCATTAAAAAGTTTAGCAAAATATCTCATCCATATTTGTTGAATATCATATTCTAAGAAAAATATTTTTTAATCTTTATCCTTAATACACTTCACTTTAACTAAATCCTTACTACTATTATTTCTTTGTTTGGCTAATTTATACATATATCTTTCTCTCTACTTAGTATCTAATATATTATATAAATTATTAAAAGCTAAACTCTTTGCATCGCAAATAGTTTTGTTAGATTCTTTACGAGCCTCTTTAAATCTTTCTCAATTATCAGAATTTTTACATATAAATCAATTTTTATAACAAATCTTCTTATTTTTTATCTTTTCTTGCACATTTGGATTTCACCACTATTTATTTTCACTATTAGGAGCTTTTCCCTTCGAAATTCCATGCACATCTTTTGAAATATTCTTAATATTACTAGCCACTTTTTCCCACATAATATTAGCATTTTCATGCATAGACAAAATCTTACTCTCAAAAATACTTTTGTTAATATTGTTTAAATGACCCCATCAAATCCTAGAAAATCATTTTATTTTATTTTTTATTTTCTACCTCTTTATCTTAAAGTCCAAAACTAATAATCAATGCTGGATACATAAATGTTCACTCGGAATAACTTTATAATTTTTGCAATCTAAACGATCCAATTTTCTTTTAAGAAAAAAATGAATATGCATTTTATTATATCCATTTTTATAAGTGATAGGATGCTCATCTTTTTTCTTTAATAAGGTATTAACTATTAAAAAATCATGAGCTAAAGAAAAATCTAATATGGTCTTACCACCTTCATTTATCATTCCAAACCCATGTCCACCATTAATGCTTTTAAATATACCTCTCTACCAACATGTCCATTTAAATCTCCTCAAATAAAAATTTTATTTAAGAGGTATATTTTGTATTAATTCTTCTAAGCCATATCAAAATTTTAATTTTGAACTCATATCCAAACCTACTTGAGGAGTATAAGTACTTATAATATTAACAATCTTAGCATCAACAACAAATTTTAAAGCTATAATTTTATCTCAAATTATGTTAATTTTTATAACATTATTCTTTAAACTCTTATCAATAATCACACCTACATCATTTTTAGTACAACTCCTACTTGAATACCATAATTTATATCATAAAATATCAATCTCCTTAGTCTTCTCTCCAACTCATTTTGTTTCTTGAATGTACAGAATATTTATCTTCCTATGAATGAAATATGTCTATTAATTTTATTAATTTTCTTGTAAGGGAACATATATTCCAATTTACTTTCCTAATTTTAGTTTTATCGACTAGCTTCTTGCCCACATCTATCCTTAATGTGAGAATCATTGCCTATTTAACACTGCACCCGGGCGCTGGTGCAACGACCCTTGCACACTTGTCGCTATATTGAGGTCATACAACACATCGTTTCTAGGGGACGCCCTAGCATTAACACAATTATTTAATGGATTCATGTCATGATTATTTGACAAGTTTTACACTGGTTGTCGACTACCTGATGCGAACATCCGACGGTGGAAGTTAATCAAAGGAAGAACGAAGATCGACGGTCTAGATTCCTCCATTTTATCTTAGTTTATTTATTATTATTTTATTTAATTATGCTTTTTTTTACCATTACTTAAAGGTCTTGTCTTATATAAAGCCCAAATGGGCAAAGTTGTCTTTAAGTTTCTTTTAAAGCCTATGTATAGAGGCCCTTGCTCTTGTATTAGACAATAATAGATTAATAAAAATTGTTTGTACACTTTGTTCTTGAGAGCGATGGGAGTTCTCAGAAGAGTGGAAGTCCCTATATGAGGGCAATGAAATACCCACCAACCGCAGGATGTGTCCGGGCTCATGGTTGAAGTCCCTTGATGGAGGGCAATGCAATACCCGTCAGTCTTAAGAAGAGTCTGAGACTCACAATTTATTTTCTTTCTCTAATCCCTCACCTCCTCCTTTAACCGCCGACTAAATCTTCCCCTAGCTGCCGGCTTTCTATCTCCCATCCTCTTCCCTACCATCGGCCACCCACCCCCTTTCCTTTTCAATCGTCGGCCACCACCCTCCCCTTCTTCCAACCGTCAATCTCCTCCCCATCTCCACCCTAAAATCCCACCAAACCGCCACCTTCTCCACCAAGACGCCACTTCCCTTAGCCCTCTCAATTTAGTTTCCTTCTTTCTTATTTGGATTTGTTTAATTTTGGTAAGTTTTTGAATTCAAATTCAAATGAATTTGAAATTTTTTATTCTTTCTTAAATTATTTAGTTTAATTTTGAAACGTCTTCCCTCAATCAAGGAATGATTAAATCTAAAATTGATTAGGAATCAATTCAAAATTCTTACATTCATCGAACCTAGACTTCTCTTCCTACATTTATCGAATCTAGACACCGCTTCCTACATTTATCGAACCTAGACATCTCTTCCTACATTCATCGAACATAGACACTTCTCCTCCTTCCCTCTCATTTGGCCGGCCCCTCTCTCTCCCCTACTTTAATAATTTCCTTCCTAATTTAATGCCCCAATTAGGGAGATAATTAATTCATCTCTTCTCTTCTTTTCTTGTTTGAATTTCAACTTCAAATCTATTAATTAAAGGGATATCTGAGATGAAATTTTATATCTTTAGTTTTTTATTACCCCCTCCGTTTACATCAGTTTGGTATCGGAGCATAGTTACCCGGGATGCGGACTCGACGGATTCGAGCTCTTTTTCACCCCGGGAGAATGATATGGACATCCGATGGTGGAAGTTAATCAAAGGAAGAGACGAAGATCGACGGCCGAGATTCTTCCATTTTATTTTAGTTTATTTATTATTTTTTTGATTTAATTATGCATTTTTTGTTTTACCCTTACTTAAGGGTCTTGTCTTATATAAGCCCAAAGGGGCAAAGTTATCTTTTAGTTTCTTTTAAGACCTATATATAGGCCATTGCTCTTGTATTAGACAATGATGAATTAATAAAAAAATTGTTTCTATACTTTGTTCTTGAGAGCGATGGGAGTTATTAGGAGAGTGGAAGTCCCTATGTGAGGGCAATGAAATACCCACTAGCCGTAGGATGTGTTCGGGCTCGTGGTTGAAGTCCTATGGTGAAGGGCAACGCAATACCCGTCAGTCTTTAAAAGAGTCCAATACTCACGGTTTATTTTCTTTCTTTAATCCCTCACCTCCTTAACTGCCGACTAAATCTTCCCGTAGCTGCCAGCTGTCTACCTCCCATCCTCTTCCCCACCACCGGCCACCCACCCCCTTCCTTTTCAACCGTTGACCACCACCCTCCCCTTCTTCCAACCATCGATCTCCTCCCCATCTCCACCCTAAAACTCTACCAAACCGCTACCTTCTCCACCAAGCCGCCACTTCCCTTAGCCCCTCTCATTCTAGTTTTCTTCTTTCTTATTTGGATTTGTTTAATTTTGGTAAGTTTTTGAATTCAAATTCAAACGAATTTGAAATTTCTAATTCTTTCTTAAATTATTTAGTTTAAATTTGAAAAGTCTTCCCTCAATCAAAGAATGATTAAATTTGAAATTGATAGGGAATCAATTCAAAATTCTTACATTTATCGAACCTAGACACCTCTTCCTACATTCATCGAATCTAGACCTCTTCCTACATTCATCGAACATAGACACTTCTCCTCCTTCCCTCTCATTTGGCCTGCCCTTCTCTCTCCCCTATTGTAATGATTTCCTTCCTAATTAAATACTCCAATTAAGGAGATAATTAATTCCTTTCTTCCCTCCCTTCTTTTCTTGTCGAATTTCAAATTCAAATCCATTAATTAAAGCGAAATTTGTGATGGAATTTTAGATCTTTAATTTTTTCTCATCCCCCCCCCCCCCCATCCTTTCCCCCCGCCCCCCCCCCCCTCCCTTCTACATCACAATCTAACGCAACCCTCTACTTTTCTCAATCTAAATATCATAATGTTCATGAAATGAGTTATAATTATGGAAAAAATATTGTCTACTATCATACGATCGAACCCTAATGAGTTTGCTATGCAAGTAGTATTTTTCTTCTCGTTTGTGATGAGGGCATATGAGAATTTATTTTTTAAAGCATTCAAAAAGGAAGGAAATAGCTGTTGAAATTTGTCTTTATTGTTTGTTCTCTGTGAAAAATTTTAATCCAATATTTCATCCTCGATTTTTCATGTTTAGAAATTGGGTTTTTCATTTTGAACTTGATTTCTATCATTGGACGTCCCAACTTCTTGACTACTATCTTTTTCATGGTAAATACCACCATCTTTTATGAGATTATCCTTGATATGCTTCTTGATTTTTATCAAGAAGGGGAAGGCATCTTTTGATTAGATTTAGACTCCAAGATAAGAAGAGGGGAAGAAAAGAGACTAGAGAGGGATAAACCATAAATTATTCATTCCATAAGTCATTTATTACAATAGAAAAGATATTTATAATTCTTGAGAAGACCAAGTTTACAATATAGAACTGGTGTACCTAGCCAAACTTAAAAAAAAAAGACTAGATTAGTGCTTTATTACATATGTGGACCCATTTGTCATTTATGCTTGTGGAATGTGTTTGTGCCTTCTTCTTTGGTAGGCTTCCTAGTTGTTGGTTGTGACGCCATGTTTGTTGCCTATGCCTTGCATCTGATTTTTGGATCCAATCTCATATGTCTAACACTACATTTATGTTTTTGTTACGCTTATTTGCTGCTTTGAGTGTTGAAGAATGGCATGTCGACATGAAGGAGAGACTCAATATTATAGGACCTTAAAATTAGATTCTATTGCAATATCAAGTATAGTTTTTTTTTTTTTTCTTAAAATTGTATCCCATATTCCATACATTTGATGTATTCTTTTATATAACCCATCCTATCAAAACTTTTGTTCTCATTTAAGTTATCTCCATTTATTATCTTCTCTTTCTCAAGCATACATGGTTGTTGCCCTCATTCACCTCTTCCCAAATTTATTTTCAAACTATTTTCTAATCCAATTTGAGGAGCATTGGTATTAATCATATTCATAATGTCATTAAAAATAATTTTCTTAATAGAAATCACCCTATTATCCTCAGCAATTTAATCTAAACCTCTATTTATTACTCTCTATCCCTTTTATATACTTTTAACCTTCCAAACATAAAATAGGTCATAATCTTTTTGTTTAGTCTATTGTCAACATGTGAATACCTGTTTATTTTTTTATCTTTGTCTATTAATCTTCAAGCATTGTCAGTTAAAGTCCGATATTCCATTTAATAAATTTAATCCTAATTTTAGATCCATCGTTTGTCCGCTAAAACTGTGCCACTAACCTCCCCCAAATTCCGGCTAACCAAACCCCTACTCATTTATGGACTTGGACAGTCTTGTTAAAACGGACAATGTAAACAATGTTACTATATCGTTATGATAGCGCCACAACAAATCTTATAGATGCATTATTTGATGATTTGGCAATTTCTTTCTCATCAATAATTTGTTGTGAAATGATAAAATTCTATGCTGATTGATGTGAGTGCCTCTAGCAGATTTTGAAACGAGAGCGGTTTCTAAAAGGTGTTTGTCATTATAATAATAATAATAATAATAAAAGCATAAGCATTAGCATATAGTCAAAGAGTAAATGGAGCGTGAAAATAGCTGACTCGGAGAGGGACACTTAGTGTCCAACCTTCACCACATTTGCGTAGACAATAATTTGCTGTAAATTTTTTAATTTGGTAATTTCTGAAAAAATTCTTGCTATTAGGAATTTTTTACTGCTGAGCATCGAAGACCTATTGTGACTTCTGCTTCCGGAAATAACCAAGGATTGGATTGTTCTCATGATGTGGCTAATCCACGATCAAATGTTTCCCTGCCACCTCCTATGGAACTGATGTGTAGCAATGATGCAGCACCTTTAAGTTTTACTAATTGTCAGTCGTCTATAGCTGAGCCTGACCTTGACAGAGTCCCGCCTGTTGGATGCCAAGCGGAGGCTCGTTCGGGGCCATATTGTTCTGTTGGGCAGAGTGAAGTTCCAGCTCAACCGACAATTATGGAACCACCGGTCCATCCAATCCTAGATATTACAGAGCATCCACTTACACCGCAAGATGTTTTACCAGAAGAATTGGCTTACATACATCTTAGAGAAACTGATAATCAGCAGATCACTGAGAATATCCTTGATCCATCCAGATCTCAGGAAGATTTACCATCCGAAAGAGCACCCTCTGAAGATCTAAGAAGTGCTGGTGTTCATTTAGATCAAGGAAACCAGTTAATTCCAGATTTTTTGTCAATAGGCTGGGTACCGGCTCAACCCATTTATGCTGATCCATTTCAGAATGAATTATTAAGAATCCGAAAACAGAATGATTCATGTACCAAAAAGCATGAAGAAAAGGTAATTTTTTTTAATTCCATTCTTTGAAAATTTAGCTGCTTGGTTGCTAATGACGAACTCTTCCATTTTTACTCTTCTGATTGATATTCCTTTCTTATTTGCAGAAAGCACGACTTCAATTTGAGTGTGAACTAGAAATAGAGAAGGTGAGAAGGAAATATGATGCTCTAGTTCAGGATGCTGAGAGGGAGCATCTTCGGGATCAAAACTTGGTTCAGGCAATTTATGAGAAGGTTTTCTTGCATAAAGTTTTCGCAGAAGAAGTTAGGTCTAAGTTTTTTGATAACAAAGAAGGAATATCAACACCATTTCGAGGTCTGGAACTTAACCGTGAGGAAACTTCTATTCTCTCTTGCAGTTGCAGTTACCACCAGCTTTTATTCTCTTAGTTTATAAAATGAACTTTTTTAGCATGTTATCGTTGAGATTCATGTCATCTTTTTGCTTCATTTCGCTAATATGTAATACTATGAAATAGATCTCGTAACTGAATCTTTAGGATTCTTCCTGAGGTGTTTGTATCTTTATCCTTTTTTTGATTTGTTCTTTGTTCGTAAGATTGGTATGAATTTATCTTTATTTCAAGTAAATCTACACACTTCTTTCATTCAAATTGGTTCTAAATAATAGGGATAATGCTGCAGCTAATGTTGAACTGCATGGTTTTCATCTCCATTCCTGCACTTTTTCCTTATTTTCATCATCTCCTTTTAAAACTTTTTGGCATATGCACTAAAGTTGCAGAATATACGAGCTCTTTCATTTACCTTTTTCCTTCACAATACTAACTATTATGTCAACTTATCAGGTCCGAGCTTAAATTTATCTCAGCAGCCTCTGACATCGCTATCACAACCTCAGTCTTCCTTAAGGCCAGACTCAATTGCGCCTTTCATACCACCTTCAACTACCTCTTCTCATCCTGCAACGTTAACCATAAATCAGGAATCAACCGTCCCTCTACGTACTCCCATAAGACCGCGAAATCGTTTGCCAGCTTTGGCTCCAGTCCATTCCACCGGATCATCTAGTCAAGCTGCTACGGTCTTCTCGCCCGCTACAGCCAGAGTGTGTGCACCTCGAGCTAACCTACAAGGTAGCCGCTCGCCTGCTCCTCATCTCCAACGCTTTAGGCCCAATGGGTCGTCGGTTCCAACTTATAGCATTCCAACTCCAGCTACTACTCAGCAGCCTTTACCTGCTGGCCAAGTTTCTACTACTGCAACATCAGTTGATTTGGTTTCTGTTTTGCCACCACCATTAAACTCCACGCAACCTTCCATCTCTCCTGCTCTTTGGAACTCGCAGCCTACGAGTTCTCCTATGGATCAGTTAGGCCAAGATTTGGAAGCTGACTTACTAGAATCTTTGCTGTTAAACTTACCAGGAATGACTAATGGATTCCCTACCTCAAATACGATTGATTTGAGCTCTAATGCCTCACCAGACATAATCTGCTTATCGGATGATGAGTAACATACGATGAAGAGGAAGGATTATGCACTACGGGGTGTAATTCTGTATATTTTTTATGAGACTCTCAGCTGTGCTCTTCACTTTCTTTGGAAGGCATAAACTGGTCAAGTTCTAAGATTGAGCTAAAAATGAGTTGGGACTTCACCAGCAATCTGCAGAGAGATCAAGGGCTTCTTCCTTCTATGAACTTCTGGTTGGTTGTCCACTCTCTTGGTTAGAAGTCTCTTTTCTGGGACTTTCATTTTTGTATACCAGAATACTGAGCATGTGTTGTATGTAAAAATTAGATGTAAATCTTTTATCTATTATTTTATAAAGAACGGTTACTATAGTCGAAATTCTTTTTATATGTAATTACTTTTTAAGAATTTCTTTATAGGAATTTCTTTGAAGCTGACTCCAGATGACTGCTTTATGTTCATCTTCAACAAAGAATTTCAGCAGCCTGATTCCATCAATTAATAGGAAGTAATCACCAGGGAAGCTGTGGAATATTGTGCTTGTTGGCCAATAGTTTTTGTGTAATTTCTATGTTTTTAAAAGAATAGAGATTCTTGTTATTTTAAAACAAGATAAATCTGTATTTGAGAGAGTAGGTATGGGAGGATTTGTGAGCGGTCATCTTTGTACAAAATTTTAACAGCAGAGCTAGGGTTGCAAATGAACCGAACCAAACTGAGTATGTAAGTGTTCATGTTTGAGTTCATTTATTATCAACTTGTTCAAATTTGGTTTGTGTTTGATTTGAGCTTTATTATTTGTGTTCATGTTTGTTTGTTTAAATTAATGAGGGTTCATGTTTGATTTATGTTCGATTCGTTTAGTGCTTATCGAATTTTAAACAAACAAGTTTTAACGAGCTCTAAACGAGCTTTATTTGTAGATGTTCATTAAATTAACAAACTAGCTTTATCAAGCCTTTTAAAAAATAAATACATCGAGCATGTTCGTGAACATATTTAACTAGTTTTTTCAAGTTATCAAATGAGTTTGTTCACGAACAAGTGATATATTATTTATCTTATATTTATTCATGAACATTTTAAACAAAAAATTTAGCAAATATGGACAAATGTGAAATGTCTCTTTTTAATGAACAATGTTCATTCTATTGAAGGTATAAAATAAAATGAAATTAAATTTATAATAAAAGTATTATGTATACTTATCAATTTTATAATTAAGTATTAATTGAGTTTTAATCGAGCTTATTCACGACTTAAAAATCAAACATGAATCGAGCTTTTTTATAAGCTTCAAATGATATTGTTCATGAATATAAATGAACCGAACGCATTAGTGTTCAAGCTTATTTATTTAAGGATTAAGTATTTAAAATATTGTTCAAATTTGTTTGTTTAATTAATTAAACGATCATAAATAAGCTTTGATTGAACCGATCAACGAGTAGTTTGTTGAACATTTGATTTGCTTGCAGCTCTAAGCAGAGCAATTAATTTGGGCAATTTGACTATTAATTTTCTCATCCCTTCAATGTTTTCAACGGCTCAATTACACGAAATAATTTGGAATATTGATTTCTACTACTCGAAGGTTATTCTCTTATTGCGTGAGACGAGTTTTCAAAGCACCTACTAAATGCACTATTATAATTTATTCGTGTTGCCTTTTTTTAGCTTTAATTATGTCTAATTAATTATTTGTTTGATACTATTAATTTAATCATATAATCTAATTATTAGATATAATTGGATTTATAGATTTTACACAATTTAGTATAGTTCATTACATGCTATTTCAGTTATTGGTAAATTTATAATAAAATATTATTCAAATCTATCTAATTTAGCTTTTTATTTGATTTTTTTAATCATTCATATACACCTGAAAATGAATATCATTCATATGTAATCAAAAAAATTATCTTGATCGGGCATGAATCTCGAGGCAAAATCATGCTGGAAATTTCAAAAATTAAATATGGGATCACCTGAATTCCGATTTCAACAAACTTACATTCGAACAAATCTTCTCGGAAATACGAACACAATGACACCAAATTCAACTCAATCCGAGCCCAAATGGGTCTGAATTAAAAACTTGAGGCACATTCAGAAGGTTCAATCCATAATTTGGATTACCAAACACATTCCAAATATGTCATTCTTATAGTCGAATCGAGCGGCTCGACGAGACGAATCCAACGAGCCCAAGATCATTTAATTTTGATACCATTAAAACCTTCAAATGTCTGACAAACGGTCCACGATCAAGGGATTCAATATCGGGCGTCCATCTGAACCACTCCACATTTGCCCTTGATCCTCCTCCTATTTACGGGTCATGCCATCCTAAAAAAACTATAAATAGCACCTCATTTCTCTTGAGAGGGGACCCAAGCAAGAAGAGAAGAAGAGAAGGAAGAATAGAAGATTTTGAGGGAAGAAACTCCTCCTTGACCACCGCAGCCAGAATTCTGCCCTACTTCCGAACGGCACCGGAATTCCGCCCGACTTGCAAGTGATGCCGAAATTCTGCTCGACTTCCAAGTGATGTCGGAATTCCGCCCGACTTTCCAGTGACGTCAGAACTTTGCCCGATCTCCAGTGTGACGCCAAAATTTTTCCCAAATACCATCTAACACCGAAGTTCTCTCCGGCCGCCGACTAAATTCGGACTTCTACCCAACGACGGATCTCCGCTCGTCGCCAGATTTATACCTGGCATTGGACTTCTGCCTGTTGTTGGATTTTCGCCAGATAACTATCAAATATGGGATTTATATCCATAGATGAACTTCTACCTGACGCCGTCCTTCTGATCTCTGTCATCAGACTACGGTTCTTCCGACCTCCATCAACCGCCGACTATTGTCCTTCTGACTTACATCGCACACCGACTACAGTCCTTCTGACCTCTGTCGCTAGTCGACTACGGTCCTTCCGACTTACGTCGCCCACCAAATACAGTCCTTCCAACTTCTGTCGCCCGCTGACTACGTTCCTTCTAACTTCTGTTTCCCACTGATTACAGTCCTTCCGACCTCTGTTGCCCCCCGACTAAGGTCCTTCTGACTTACATCGCCCACCGACTACATTCATTCCGAACTCCGTCGCCCGCCAACTATGGTCCTTTCGAGTTATGTCGCCCATCTACTACGGTCCTTCCGTCCAAAGCAAACACGTCAACAATGATTCTTTGTATTCCCTTCATGTAATGTTCTATATAAGATGTACATCAAACTAAGGCCTTCTCCCAAGAAAGGGCTTCATTTGTAATCAACTGCAAATACTAGTGGATTCATTCAAGCTAGGCTAAGCCCTGTGATTTTTCCTCTTTTTAGGGGTTTTCCACATAAAAATCTTGGTGTCTCATATGAATGCTACACTTTCTCTCTTATCTGATTGCGTGCTGGATTTTCGTACAACGCCAAGATGCTAAACTTTATATTTCTCTACTGCCGCGAATACTCCAGGTCGCAACAATAATTATTCATAAAACTTTTAAATTATAAGTAAATTGACATTATAATAAGGAATGAGTCGTCATATAAAAAATCTAAGACATTTATCATATTATTTGTAAAATATTTGTTTAACAAAGACTTCTAATATAATCACATAAATCAAACTATCTAAAAAAAGAAAGAATTTTTATTTTTCAGAACCTTTCTTCTTTCACACATTTAAAAGTCCCTAACATATTGGCAGAGGAGATTCATTCCATTCCTCCATGCATTCGAGCATTGGATCGATCATCTTCACCTTATTGCAAATCGCGCCAAAAACCTTATCAATTTCTTCCCCCGGTGAAACAATCTTCTCACCACTTAGAAAACTAGCACCAACGTCCCTGACAAACCTGTAAAGAGGATAAGACCTACAGTCCTTGATCCTATTCTCAATCGCCGACGAGCCATTCTTAAATGCAGTTCTTGCTGCTTCCACCTCCTTTGGCAATGCAGCTTTCAGCTCGCCTTCAAAAGATGAAATCTTTTGGAATATGGAACTGTTGGAATCCTTCTCCTCCGGTTTCTTCGATCTTCCACCTCTGATTACTTTAATTTGAGGTCCGAGCCATTGAGGTGAAGTGCGTAGAGCATATCTACCATGTTTTGGCTTTTGAAGAGGATCCATTCCAACTACATCTGATACCAAACTAATGTAGTTGGATCGTCGGAAGAATCGGACCTGCTTGAAGGATTTAATCCCAATCCAGGGAAGAAGAAAAACACAAGCTTAAAAGCGTCAAGGAGAAATATTTGTCATCAATAATGTCCCACTCCCTTACATTAGCTAGCTATTTATAAAGCAAAATAGAACTATCTAGAACATTAAAGATATGCTAGTCCTTAAGCTTAATAATAGCTATGATATTCCTACATCTCTTTGAATTCAACCTGAGTTCATTAAGAGAATAAAAAAAAAACATTTAAATTAATTATCATATATAATAAAAATTTATAATATAAATACACAATAAGCAGGATTTAGGCAGGACTTACTCCAAACGAAAAAGGAGCGCGAAAAATCCTATCGCATCATAAATCCCGGATTTATTGCTTTTGATCGTGAATCTATGAATGACTAAAGCTTCGTTTGGGATAGCTTTCTTACTACTTTTTAAAACAATTTTATAGTATAAAAATTTCTAGTTTAAATAATATTTGTATTGAAAGCTGCTTTAAAAAATAAGAAAGCTGTCTCAAACTATTTCATCATTTCTAAAAACTCTTTATATTTGATCAACACGCTTAAAAGCCCTTACGTATTTTAATTTTATGTATAATTTTCATAAAAAATAATTAATGATTCAACTTAATATTAAATTAATGATTATCATCCTGACCAAAATATTTTTTTTTATAAAAAATTTTAAAAAAGTCATTAAAAAGTGATGAGATTTGCAACTTCAGCATAGCCACCTACTTAAAATGTATTGTTAGGTGGAAGGCAACTTGGCCATGGCCTATATTTGGTTGTTGAGAAATTAATTTATATTATTAAATTTCATATCTTTCTTCAACTTAGAATATTCTCACCCAATCTTAGAAATTTATTCATTTTCTTATTTTATTTCTCCTTAAAATATTAAGTGGCTTTGGTGGTATATTGATATGCTATGGATTTGAAATTTTGTCGAACACTAATTAAATTAAGGGGAAAAAATCTTAAATTAATTTTTAATCAATATAATATATGAATAATTATTATAAATTAATTTTAAAAATTAAGTTACACTTATATAATTTATATTAGGGTATTTTGATTCAATTTTTCTTCTTCAGATAACCAATTAATTGCAAAATAAAATAATATATTTATGAAAAACAATTTATAGCTAATACATAAATCTTATATTGAGTTTTTGTATGATTTTTATTTTTTATTTTTTGCTTGTTACCAACTCTTAAGAGTAACAAGAAACTTTGGTATTCGGGTAAGAGTCGTACTAGAAATGGTGTAGGTGTTATTATAGATAAGAGTTTAAAGGATAATGTTATAAAAATTAATAGGATTGGAGATAGAATTTTAGCTTTAAAGATTGTTGTTGATGATAAGATTGTTAATATTATAAGTGCTTATGCTCCTCAAGTAGGTTTGGATATGAGTTCTAAATTAAATTTTTAGAATGACTTAGAAGAATTAATACAAAATATACCTCTTGAAAAAAGAGTTTTTATTGGAGGAGATTTAAATGGACATGTTGGTAGAGAGGTCGATGATTTTAAAAGCATTCATAGAGGCCATGGATTTGGAACGACGAATGAAGATGGCAAGACCATATTGGATTTTTGTTTAGCTTATGATTTTTCAATTGATAATATCTTATTTAAGAAAAGGAATGAGCATCTCATCACTTATAAAAATGGATATAGTACAACCCAGATTGACTATTTTCTTATTAGAAAATTAAATCGTTTAGATTGCAAAGATTGTAAAGTTATTCCGAGTGAAAATTTATGTACCCAACATCGATTATTAGTTTTGGACTTTAAGATAAAGGGGCATAAAATAAAAAATAAAGTAAAACAATTTTCTAGGATTAGATGGGGGCATTTAAAGAATATTAACAAAAATATTTTTGGAGATAAGATTTTAGATCGTAAGATTTTGTCTGTGTATGAGGATGCTAATATTATGTGGGAAAAAGTGGCTAGTGATCTTAAGAATATTGCAAAAGATGTCCTTGGAGTATCAAAGGGAAAAGCTCCTAATAGTAAAAATAGTTGGTGGTGGAATCCTAATGTGCAAGAAAAGATAAAAAATAAGAAGCTTTGTTATAAAAATTGGTTTAATTTTAAAAATTCCGATAATTGGGAAATATATAAAGTTGCTCGTAAGGATGCTAAGAAAGCCATATGCGATGCAAAGACATTAGCTTTTAGTGATTTATATAATAGATTAGATACTAAAGAAGGAGAAAGATATATGTATAAGTTAGCCAAACAAAGAGATAGGAGTAGTAAGGATTTAGTTCAAGTGAAGTGTATTAAAGATGAAGATCAAAAAAATACTTTTCTTAGAAGATGATATTCAACAAAGATGGATGAGATATTTTGCTAAACTTTTTAATGAAGATTGTGAAAATAAGATTGACTATAGTGACCTTAGCACCCTAGATGAAAATAAAGATTTATGTTTTTATCGGCGTATTAGTAAAACTGAAGTTAGAGAGGCTTTAAAGAAAATGAAGGGTGGAAACATTTATAATAAATAATAATAATAATAATAATAATAATAATAATAATAATAATATGATGTGGATCAATTTATCATGTGAAGAGAATTTGAAAACCCTTACATCAATGCAAGGAGATGACTTCCCTTGAAATCAAATAATCTCACTCTACAAAATTCAAAATAATTGTACATCCAACTTGTACTCATGAGATTGAATTTGAAAAATTGAAATTTCATTAAAAACAAGTTCTGAATTACATGCCTCAAATTAGCTATTTTTGGTCTCATCATATTATCTCAAATTAAATTTGAATTAATTCCAAAAAAAGAAGGCAATCCCCAACTGTAATTTACTGAGTGTTTACAACAACATTCTTATTATTTTATTTTTCAAACTACAATTATAATTCTATTTGACTATATCTTTCTCATCAATTTTTAAAAAAATTATGCTTTAAGCTATTTTTTACAATAACGTTAAAGATCTATTTTGGGAGAAATTATCATGTGCTGAGTCCGGACAGGAAAAATCGTCAGGATTATGAGTGTACATATTGTATACACACAATGTGTACACTGATTTGATACACATTAAATGTGTACATAGTGTGTACACTCGCATGTTCGAACTATTCTTCCTGTTCAGACTCCGCACAGAATAATTTTTCTTGTTTTGAATGGTTGTAATATTTTATAAATGTGATTTGCTGTAAAATTATTGTGATGGAAATAACTTTTTAAAATTATTATAAAAAATATCATCCTAGCATAAAACTACAATCAGATAAACATGTAAAAAGAAAGTTGCATGTCTCCAAAAGATTGAAGAAGCCAGAGATAATCAAACTCCACCGCTTGCAATTAAAAAACAATATCCATTGAAGCACAGCCAATTGATCAATTTTATACTTTGTCTTATTACTTCTTATCTTGAATTTTTTTAGTTTAATATTATCATTTCCCTCTTATCTTCAATGTTTTCTTCATAGTCGATTCTTTTCAAAACTCCTATAAATTAATTGTCTTAATTAACAATATTAAAAATCATTTTGATGTTTAATCCATATCATATAATCATAAAAAATATCAACCATTCGACCATATTCAAATCAAACATAATTTTTTAATTAGTTAGATGGTAATATTAATTTTAATAATATTTGTTTCAATAATTATTAGGAAAAAAGAATAATAATGAGTAAATTTTGCGAAGAAATTGATAGTAGAAACAATAACTTTCTTCATTTTTTTCATTAAATTTCCCTTAAGATTTTGAACAAGAATGTAGGCTAATTCCTAACAAATAATTCTTATCTGCAGCTAAATGTTTCATTATAAAAAACGAAAATGTTTTCCATAATTGGTTTAACATCACTGAATCCTCTGATAGATTATAAAGAAAAGCTGTAAGAATTTAATACATAACAACCGAAGAACTGCAGAGCACTTGAAAACTTAAAATAAGGTTAAAAATCAGAGCTCCTCTCCACTTCCTCTATACAAATTTTACTATGCTTTACATGAAACAAGCTTATTTCCATCAAATAAAAAGAAGAACCTTTCCCCTGCCTTCCAAACCACTGAAAAACTTAAGAGAAAAAACCATTGATCCGTGAGAGAAGAAGAGCTCTGCTTCAAATGATGAAGGTCATATCATTGAGCCTTGATAAATGGTTCCAGAAGACTGGGGAAGAAGAAGACCTTACTATAGCAGTACGAAGCAGCTGAAGCTTGGAAACAAGAAGAACAAATCGTCGGCATGGAGGACTGAGGAGAAGAGAGAAGGGAATGATCAAAATCCCCAGTTCTAATATCAGCATTCTGCACTTTCTGCACTGTCTTCTTCTTCTTCCTTCTTCTTCCTGTCTTTTGCAAAGCCTGGAAGTTTTAAGCTGTGGATAGTCTCCCTTTATCTCCGCTTAAGATCCGAATTCTTAGGGATGGTATAAAATAACTTAATCATTGAACTGTGAATCTGTGATTGAGACTTTTCTATTCTCTTTGATATCTTTTTTGTTGCTTGCAAGAAACATTTTTTGGACACATTTAAATTGGTTCAATATTTTTTTAATATAAATGGTTGTCAATAATTCATGTCAATGTTGAGAGAAATTATTGATCGTTCAGAGACCAACTAGAATGGGTCACGTTAACGGTATCGAATATTATCAAGCCGTGGTACCGAGCAAAGAGGTGACGTGGCGCATTCTGATTGCTCTTTGGATGGCGTTCGACGCCCACAAAGAATAATTAATCAAATGTTGAAGATTTTATTATTATAAATAAAACTTGGAGATTATTAATTGAATATATTTTATTAATCAAAATTAAAATTAAAGTTAAATAAATATAGTACCGATCAAGGTCAAGCTGCACCTACAAAAGTGAAATTTATTTTAAATTTATAAACATAAATTAAGTAAAAACAATAATTACATATATTAATCACTTCACATTCCATAGCAAGTGGCTTTAGTTACCCATTCTTGTACTCCAAGCATTAGGAGGATCCTCATTGATATGATTCATTTCTTTATGTGATTATGATATTGATGGCTTATTTCTTTCTTGCGAGCTTTAAATTTATGACTTGTGATTGGGCCCATGTTTATTAAGATATTCTCATTTAATTTAAAATTAGTATTGTTATGTGATCTAATTTGTAGCATATAAATTAGAAATAAATTTGAGAATTTTATGCTTTGTCCGAACAATTTTTTAACTACTTTGTAAACTAACTTCATGGTGCAAAAATTTCTTGTAAGCACTGGAACAATTCTCTTACTGGTTACTAAAACAATTTTTTGGTATAAAATCGTTTTGAAATCGGTGAAAAAATAAATGTCAAAAGCTATCTCAAACGAAATCTTAATATGTGAAATTCAAGAGCTAGTACTGTAAAAAAAATAAATTATATTAATAATAAAATAAATATAAGAATTTCTAAATTAATTATGTTAAGTTTTATATTAAAATATATTAATTTGATTTTTATTTTTAAATGTGTATAAAATAAAGATAAATAATATAAAAGAAAATATTTGATGTGATAATTTCAATAAATTATGTAGTTGAATGGAGTCCATCACTTGCAAGTTGATGAAATTATTTTTTTTATTACTGTGTTACATTATCATATGTACGTCATAATTAGAAATTTCTAAATTGTTTAATAAAATAGATTTCTAAATTTTATTTTTTATACTAAAAAATTACATTAAGAGTAGTAAGAAAGTCATTTGAAAAAGCTTCATTTTGAACGACTTTTATATTGTTTTAAGAAGTAATAAAAAAATCATCCCAAATGAAATTTTAATCTTATTTTGTTGCCAATGTGGCTTACTTTCCTGTAGTCACAAGCTTTACTTTTTTTATTTATGATGGAGGATTATTTTATATTTTAAAGTCAATATACTTTTAAATTAAAGCTGAAATTTTGTGTGGAAGATAAAATCTTTTTAAATTAAGGGTCAATGGATTGCGATGAAAGAGAGCTGCAAAATATTTGCACAAAAATGGTTGCAATTAGAGTAATGTATCTTAATTAACCATCATAATATTACTATTCATAAGATAATTTAATTATTATTAATTGGATTTTATTATCAAGTATTATTACAAATATATCACTTTAATATCCATCATATCAAATTAATTTTTTTTAAAAGTACATATAAGACTAGTCGAATTCCAATTTCAACAAATTTATAATTGAATTTAATATCTCAATGAAACAAATTCACTCACAACAAAAGTGATCTGATTATAGGGGTGTCAATATTTGTCACGATCAGAAAATCTGACTCAAATCCTACCCGAAAATTTTGAGTTAGGATCAACCCGGACCCGAAACAGGTCAGGTTTAGATTCAACAATTCGACCTGTTTCAAAAATAGGTACACATTAGATTTTAAGGCTATATGTTAAAACCCATGGGCTTGTTGTTTATGGGCCGTTAAAATTTAAGTAAAATAAAATGGTGAACGTACTGTTTAGCGACCACAGGTAACACCTGTATGGCGTTAAGCTGCAAAGCGAAACCCTAGGTGAAAGGGGATTTTCTCTATTGCTTCGATCGATCGAATCGGATTTCGAAAGAAGCTCTGGAAAAAGATGGAGACTGGAGGCGGTCGAGACGATGAATTGTGGTGGTGGGCAGCGAGCTCCGGCCAACTGGCCGTGGGGGTCGTGTTGTACCGGCGGGGTTGCGGCAGGAGCGGAGCGGCGATGCCCTTCAAAGCTTTTGCTATCTCCACGCTATTCGTCGGAGCCGGAGCCGCCGCATTCGCAGGAGCTCTTCACGCCTCCGGCATCCATACGGTAATCACTCCAACTCAGCATTCTATCGTCTCCAAAAATTGGATGACCATTCAGCAGACAGGCCCCTTGTTATTGTCATTTGCATCACACTCACCGAACTCTCCTATAGTTTTCGAAAAATTTCTCTTCTGTACCTAATGATTAATTAAATGAATGAGGTCAACATAACAACATCTACTAGCGATTATGATAAGTATATTGATGGTGCAAATATAAGTTTATCTAATCAATGATATTATTTAGGTGATTGTTCATTTAATTGTGCTACTTTTGCTTAATGTTATGTTAACTAATCAATGATATTTAACAAAGAGTTTTTGGTCAATACTATCATTGGTTTGGGCCTTGTTAATATTGTTGCTCATGCCTAACCTGAAATAGACCAAAAATGGAAGATTAGACTTCATTTTGGACAGTTTTCATTCTAGTACAAAAATTTGAACTTCAAAAAAATTTTGTGCTAAGAAGCTGATTCATAAAGTAATAAGAAAGCTGTTGCTTTCTAAAATAGTTGTCCAGTACAAAATTTCTAAAACATCTTTTTTGTACAACAGTTTCTTGAATTAAAAAAAAAATTATACTAAAAAGTCATTTTAGGAAGCAGTATGAAAACTATCCCAAACGAAGTCTAAATTAGAATAGATTGAAGAAGTGATTGAGAAAAAAATACTTTAGTGAAGATTGTGATTCATTCATGCTAAATTATTAGTCTTAGTGAATCATTTAGCCTCAAGGATTTATGTTTTCTGGAAAATCCTATCTTTTATGATCCTTTGCCAACTAAATGAGGTGATGAGCGAAGAAGTTTGATGGGTAAGAACTATAATTAAACAAGATGATTAGTAGACAATAAATGCTACTTAAAAGGATAATTAATTATTTAATAAATACTTCATTATGACATTTCTTCAGATTAGGTCAAGCAGGTTGCTTGCCCAGGTCCAGTAGCAACCATAAGATCTGCATGTATGCAAACTTAGAATATTGTCTTGTGCATTAGCTTGTTATTTGGAAAGCTACAAACCTAGTTTGTTTTAATTGTCCTTTATTTTTTATAAGAATTGTTTCCCATGCTCAGTTTTCTTAAAATTCATCAGAACTCATGATTATCTGGTATCTAAAGTAGTTTGTTTGTTAATATTCATATTAGATGAAACAAGCCAAATCTCGAAAGCAACATTAGGAGTTGATTTTGTAAAGCTTTTATCATCAGCTTTAAGTGATACGGCATCTTCGTTGGTAGGCTGGGGCAGAACTAACCTTTTCTTTGAAAGTGGGCAAAATAGAACTGTGAAATCACTTAAATGTATAGTTTTTAGTACGAATGAGAAACACAATCGACCCAGCACAGCACGACGATAACAAGAATGCATGGCATGTTCCATGGCTGCCAAAGGATTATCCCATTCTTATTTCTGATGCTTTTATACAGTATTTATGTATGATTAAATTTATTTAGGATGTTTAGCATCTTTCAACATCTTATATGGATGGTTGAACACAATGATAAGATAATATGTTCTATGTAAAAATGATGTTATAGAGATCTTTGTCTAATTAATCATGTAATGGTTTTGGGAGCAGGTGGATGATATGAAGCAAACGGGAAAGTGTATTCGGAGATGGATTAAGGTACCGCCAAGAGAGACAAATTAACAGAAAGATTGCGTGTTGGGATATCCAAAAACTGCAAAAACAGCAAACTTGTATCTCAGTACATGGGATCTGAGAAATCATCGACAACAACATAAGTTTTTATCCCACCATGTAGACTCGGCTACATGAATCTTTTTTCTCCATTCTATTCTTTTAAGAGTTAAATTTTTTTTTAAGCCTTCGTATGAGACGGTTTTTTTATTGCTTTTTAAAAAAATTTTATAGTATAAAAATTAAAAAATTTGTACTCGAAAGCTACTTTAAAAAATAGTAAAAAAGCTGTCTCAAACAAAGCTAAAATCTAATAAACGATATCATTTTATTGTGATGAAATTTTATTATGTGTTAAGTTTATATTGAATGATTTTTTATTTATTTTTGCTTATTCTGTGGAAAATTTCCCTCTAAAAAAATGATGAAATTTAACAAGGTATGAAATAACTATCTAGAATAAGTTGGCAAAAGTTTGAAGAACCCCAAGTAGAGGTGTCAATTCGGGTCAACGGGTCGGGTTTGGGTTGAACCCAAAACTGACCTGGCACTATTCGGGTCAACCCGAACCCGACCCATTTTTAAAAACGAGTCGGGTTTCCGGACTCGACCCGACCTGACACTAATGACCCCAAGTTGACTTAAAATTGTTAGTTTTCAAGTCAAAAATCGGGTCAATCTTCTATTTTTGGGTCAAAATCGGGTAAAAAACGGGTCAATCTCGGATTTTCGGGTCAAATCAAAGTTTTCGTTTCATTTTTGGGTCATTTTCGGGTTGTTGGGTCAATGTGAACCCTTCCCGATTTTTAAAAAACGGATTGATTTGGTGAACCCGACCCGTTCCGAGTCCAGGTTGACCCTAACCCAGGTTTTTTCGGGTCGGGTTCGGGTCGGGTTTCGGGTTGTGTCAAAAATTAACACCCCTAACCCCAATGTATTTTAATTCCCTTGATTTGATGCTTTTTTAAATGATTATAATTACTATATCAAGTTTTGATTATTAAACAAATTTAAATTAATAATATTTATTTTATAATAAATACTGCTAATCAATTATATTGTTAAAAATAATCGAATGCGATATTTTTTTATTTCTTGGAATAATAAATAATCTCCTTGGTAAATTTTTAAGAGAAATACATCATGGAACCTAACCTCTATATGTGATGATGAGTTATTTGTGAATAATAAATACAAGAAGGAATGTATTTATTTCAAATATTATTTAAAAATAATTGAAAATTATCAAACAAAGTGTAAAAGGCTAATATATATATATATATAGGGCGATCTCAAATTGTGAAATTAAAGTGCAAAATGAACTTATACTAAAAAGTAAATTCTGTAATTATCTTAATATTCTAGTACATTATGTTAAATCTCATGAGACTCCATTAGTGAATGCAATAGAAATTAACATTTTTATTTAAATATTATTTTTAAAAATTTTGTGCCGAAAAATTATTTTTTATAATCAAAATAGTAAAATTATTTTCCTCACAATGACTTAACAACCAATTTTATAAAAAAATTACCCCTGTTTCAAACGAAAAATTATTAGGTGCGGAGTGTGCACCGTCCAACACACACATTAGTACTAGGGGCGGTACCTAGTGGTACCACACGAGTGGCGCGGTGGTACCATGAGCGGCAAAATAAGCTTGTTCGGGACCGGTTCTCCCCGTCCGCACCTAATAATCTCTCGTTTCAAACAAATCCAAAGATTAAGAACCTAGAGGTAGTTAAAGAACCTACTAGAACTTAGGTTTGGTTTGGGACAAACTTTCTTGTTGTTTTCTAAAGCTTTTTTAAAAAAATGATAAAAAAAATTTTTGGTTTTAAAAAATAATTAGAAAGCTATCCAAACGCAGCTTTAGCCCTTAATTACAAATGCACTAGCTTAAGTTTTTTAATTATTATCATTATTGCTCCGTACATTCATTATTACAGTTTAACTTTTATAATCTTAAAAAAAAAAATGTCTCAAAGCACATTTATGCGAACAAACATCATTATATCTAACATATGAACAGAAAATATATTCCACCTAATTTATTAATCAACATGACATGAATATTCAATATTCAACAAAAATTCATCTTGTATAATCTTAAGAAATCGCTTATCAAATCATTTTTTTATTATGATAAATCTTAAAAATTATATGAAAATATTATAAAATATTATAAAATAGAAGAAAATTACATATTTAAGCGCTTAATTTTCTTATATCTGATAATTATAACGGAGATTTGAGCATAACAATAATCAATTACTATTTATAATAATAATAATATTAATATTTTTTATTTGAAAAAAATAAAAATTTTAAAAATAGCGGTTCCATGTCTCCCGGGCCTTTCGCCCATAACCGCTGGACGTGCGAATAGGCGGGACTCTTCGGGTGAGTATTCTGCAGAGGAATCGCGCACAACAGAAACTCAGGAACGGAAGAAAAACTTACCCATCTCTGTTTCCGATGCGAAAGCCTCAACTCCGACGGCCGAACTTCGTCTGCTCTCTCGTATGTACTATAGGCTGTTGAGCCTAATCTCCGCCAAATCGACGCCGTACCTAGCCTCCGATCTTCACATTATCCTGAACTCCTCCGTGCCAGCCTTGCCAATCCAAGCTCACTCGTCGTGTCCGGCGATGGAGGCAGGGTGGCATAAGAAAAGGGCCGTGGTTGGCGAGGAGGACGCTGTCCTCAGGAAACGTTAACACATATGGCCGCGCGACTGGAGCTCCATTTCGATCCAAAGGTCTTCTTCCCGTACCGGAAAATCTGCCGACTCCGTGGTCAACAAGCTCCAGCCCAACTTGAAAAGGTAATTTCATTTCCAAGTTTAGATTTTTAATCTATTCATGTCGATCTAATTTCCCTTCAATTGGTTGCCTCATGTGAATGAATGTGTTTTGATATTTGCATTGCTGGCGGTGAAGTGGATGCAAGTTCTCTGAGGAAGAAGGAGGGAATTGTGAATCGATATGGCGTCGAAGATTGGGAACAAATGGCGCAATTGCGACTCGTTTCCTGTAGAACGGATAACGACGTCAAGAATTTCTGGAGTACACGGCAGAAGAGATTGGCCAGGCTCCTCACACTCTTCCTGCTAGATCACGGAGGAACCAGGGGAAGGTACCCTGTATACTCAAGTAATGGTAATTTTGAGGTAATTTCTTAAAGTGATGTTTTCGATCGCACTTCATCTTTGTATGTGACGCATTGTATATCTTTGCATTACACTATAATTAATTGCTGTCTTGCCAGTCAATATGCCATTTCCAAGTGAGACTCTCCTCTCAATGAATCAAGGATGCCAAGCACCTCCTCATCAGCCATACGATCACTCACTGCTTTGACATCCCTGATCTATTTTCAAGAAGTCAGGAAGTACAGTCATCTGATATAATTCAACCAGTTCAGCTACCATGTAATTTTGTCTATGAAGAACAGCTCCAAAAGCATCACAGCTACCACCCTGGCACCACATTCTTCGACTTCGAAGTTGGGGATCATGGCTCGCTTTGAACGAAATTTCCTGATGATGATATATTTAAGGACATAGATTAGACCAGCAGTAAGTTGCATAGAGGCTTCCACATGAGGATATTATTTTTTTTTACTTGTTATATTTTTTTCTATTTTTGTAAGAGTTGTTCATAGAAGTTACACACGATATCATAGGAGTTTACATCTATAGAATAATTAAATAGTTTGTTGATTAATTTAAAAATTTCAACTGTATTTACTATTTTTGGTAAATTGTCCAAAGAATTTGTGTTATTAGTTTTTTAATATGGAACCATTATGCTTAATTACAATAGTAATGTTTAATCCGGCCGGAATATTTGTCTAATTAATTTTAACTATGTTGACGATACTATTGTTCTTTTCTATTCTAGAGTTTTTAAAAGCTCAACAGTGAGAGTTAACCAGCCTGTAATAATTTTAAAGCATAATCTTGTGATGTGTAATGATGTATTTGAAGGGATATAAAAATAGTTTTGTCTCTATTCTTCAAATGAGAGAACGAGCAGAATTAGCCTTTATTGGACATATGGTTGCTTCCTGAGACCCATCATTCAATGTGTCCAGACGTTAACAACATTTCTCCATTTTGTTCAGAAGCTTTGAACAGCAAACGAAGCAACCAAATGACTAAGGTAATGGCGTTTTTACTTTTTACGATTAGTATATATTTACTAAACTCCGTGCAAAAAGCGTCAAGGCTAATGTGACAGCTGGTCTGCAATTTACCCATAGCATCCGCTCATTAGCCAAGAGATTAATCACAAAAACTAAATGAGAGATTCGGCGTTTACTCTGCTTCAAGTAGAGATCAAGATGTTTAATGGCAATGTTATACAGATTTTGATTTAATTAATGCATTTAATGTTACAGTTCATGAAGTTTTTTAGTCTTTCCTAGATTTTTTTGTTGGCCGTTTCTTTTAAAAAGCTGCACTGGTGGCTTTCAATGAAAAAATTTAGGGTTTAGATGGCTGGTTTGTGTGGCAAATGGAACTATACTAATTTACATTAATTGAGAAATTAAACCTTCACGGAATTGATCCGGAATTTTGAAGAAATGTGATGCCGATAAAAATTTTGTTCATCTGGAGGCACATGAAGTTCCGAGTTGAAGAAGTTGAACCCTTAACGAAGTACGATAGCGAGCATTAACATCATGCATTATTTTGATTTGAAGATATTCTCAAAATGTTTTCAATAAATGTTCTAGTTAAAGACTGAATGTGATTGATCATGCCATTTCATATATATATATATATATTCTGTCTTTTTTCAACCAAATGTGAATCTTTCATGGCTCTCAAATATTGGACTATAACCAATAATCATTTTTTGTATTATACCTCAGTTGTTGTACACTTCCTACTACATATTTTCTTCCATGTTTTCCTAAATAGTGAAAGGTATTAATTTTTTTAACTCAACATCTGAAGTGAGCAGTGGCTCCAAGAACAACACATAAAAGGCACACTTAATTAAAATATTCATATTTTTATATTAAAATATTCATATTTTTATATTAAAATATGATCTGTTTTAAGTTAGTAAATTTGCTTATGAAGTAAAGTGATGACAAAATAAGTGCATAAGAAAATTAAACAAAGAAAAGGTGAACCAAAGGAAGCATTATAGTTCTTTTAGTAAGGTACCC